TTGCTGCGGTCTGCAGTCTGGACGTTAGATGTCGCTGAAAATTACACACTGTAGCTTTAATAAAACCGAAGCTCCTCTAAGTAACTCCCATCCCTTATAATCACATTGCTGTTCTCTACATCCAGTCTGTTCCTCTGCTTCAGTTTGATGTGGATCATAGCTAAAAGTGAACTCAAACATGTTAAGAAAAACTTAATGCTAAATGCTTGTTTAATTTTTTTTGTTGGGTCCTCACAAAGCAAAACAGATTTCCACCCTACTTTATTTTATTACATAAAAAATACAATATTTTCATGTACCCCTTGCAATGAACTCGCGGACCACTAGAGGTATGCATACCCCTGGTTGGGAATTACTAGTTTAAATAATGGTATGGGTGACATAAAGAAATGTTCTTGATCAGATAAAGAACCTGCTCAACGAACAGCATGATGTAAAAACCTACTGCGCATATTGGAAACATGTAAGGTTAATAAGTCTCACAGTAACGGGGAGGAAAGGTCTGCAGAAGCGCTCCTTTGTGCATCTTAAGTGGAACAGCTTTTTGCTGAAGCATATATTCAGCTCTGCATTGGTGTGATGCATGGGATGGGAGACATTGTCCAATAACTTAATACATTCCGTAAAAATTCAAAAAATATCCACTGGACTTGGTTTTCAAGATTTGAAGACGTTTCGCCACCTCTCCAGGAAGCTTTCTCAATTCAAATCATTTGAATTGAGAAAGCTTCCTGGAGAGGTGGCGAAACGTCTTCAAATCTTGAAAACCAAGTCCAGTGGATATTTTTTGAATTTTTACGGAATGACTTTGACCTGGATGACTGAGAACCTTCATCAGCAATAACTTAATACAGTTAACGCAACAGTGATGGTTTTGTTATTAAAGTCCTTCTGACTACCACCAACTGCCCCTCGATCTGCTCATCCAACCGATTCCTCTCAAGTGCAAATTATTTGTTGCTCCAACCTGCCACACCATGAAAGATGACTGATGCAAACAAAAAGACAAAAGGTATTCACACGCTGCAATCCAGTCTGCTCTGACCTGTCTGCTTAGAGTCTGCCTGCTTCCTGTTAAAACCATCAGTGTTGTTACTCCTGTCCAGTTCATTGTATTGGGGAACACCCAAAAAGTGTAAGAGGGAGTGGGCTACAACTTTATTGCTTAATTTTTCAAATCCATTTGGAATATCGGTGATGTGTCAAGCAGTAACGTGTTGTGTCTTACCTTACAGAAAACCAAGCTGAACTGCATAGCTACATGCTACATCTTGACTATAAATTTGAAATGACTTCCCTTTTTTATTTTCCTGACATTTAGAGTGAACAACAAATAATGTGTAAATAAACACAGTTTATGTAAAAGCACATGTTTCTCTATTGCAAATCTCATTAAGTTATACCTCATTCTATATCACCTTTAGACTGAAAAGCTATATAACAGCTGTACCAAGTTAGAAATTGTAAAGAAAAAGTACACACTGGTGGGAAACCAGGTAAAGAACAAGTGATCTGCTAGGGTAGGCTCTATATAATATTCTACCTTTTAGATAAACTGCCCTGGTTTAATGCAGTTAGTCACAACCTGGCTTAAAAAATACAAATATTTTTGTTTAGTTTAAGATATCTGAGTTGATAAATGTTGGGACATTGAAACACCACACTATAATAAAACAAACAAAATGCTTATCAGTGTTTATGAACCAATAGTGTCAAAAAGTGTCTAATTATAGTAATATTTACTTTTTTTATGAGCATATTGTTTGTGTGGGATCTGCTTGGTGTAATCCTTATATTCCACAATACACTGCAGCACTGATCATTTTCTAAAGATGCCTACTGAAGGGTTAACAAAGTACCCTCTCAGCTGAATTAAAAGATTGTCCCTTTGCTTTAAACTTCAAAACAATTTGTGACCTTCAATTGGCTGCTTAGTCTTAATTAGACATTTAGTCTAATTTTACCTAATGTCC